CGCCTCCCCACTGGTCCCGCCCCACAGGTCCCTGCTCCTAGCCTCCTAGCAGGGGCTCGCAGGACCTGGTCCTCACCAGTCTTGAGCTGCTTGTCCTTGGGTTTGTTCTCATCGTCTCTGGAGGGAAAGAAACCACGATAATGACAAGCATGGCCCAGGCCACATTTTCTCCAAAGAAAGTTCACAACTCTGAGCCGGGCCGTGTGCACTTAGTGCGCTTTCTCTGGGATGTTCCGGAAATCAGGACCAGGCAGGCTGCCTGCCCTGTGTGGATTGTTCCTGGGAGGAACGAGACTGTGTCCTTGGCTGTAACCACACTGAGGGCCTGGGACTGTGCAGGCTCCCTCTTTCCTTGTGGCCATGTGCTGTCCTCATGGGCATCTCAGCTCCTGCACCCCTGTGCCTAGCCCGCTCGGCAGCCCAAGTTCCCGTCCAAGCTACACTCCCCTAGCCAGCGGCTTTCCCACTGTCCCACTGACACTAACGTGCTGCCAACTGCCACCCGCCGGTGCCTCTGCCAGCCCTGCACGGTGCGTGTCAGGGACGCCAGCAGGTGGGGCCCTGGAAAGCCGAGTGGGGTCACCCGGGTGACCGAGGGCGAACGTGCGCGCCTCACGACACTCACTTCCTGACCAGGGGCCCCTTCAGCTTGGTCTCCAGCCCCCCGAAGAAGCCCTTCACGTTCTCCGTGTTCTTCAGCAGCCTCTCAGCGATGTCCTTCTTCTCGGCCAGCCAGCTGTTGGCGGACTTCAGGTAGGCGTCGATGCTGCCCACTGCCTTCTCCCTGGGCTCGGCGGGCAGTGGGTGTGGCTTGCCTGAGGGAGGGGCGGGGGTGAGGGCGGCTCCTGGGGCACAGCAGGGCAGAGAGGGAGCCTGCGCGTGTCCCTGAAGGGCAGTTGGAGCGATGGCCCGACATGTGGGGCAGGCCTCCTTTCTGGGTGTCCCTGAGGGTCCCTGCAGTCAGCCAGAACCAGCCCAGGACAGGAGAGGAGAGGCAGGAGCAGCCCTGAGAATGGATCCTGCAGAGAGGCCTGAGGGCCGGCCGGGGGAGTGGGCCGTCCCCAAGGTGGACAGCCGAGACGGGCAGGCCCAGCATGGGCAGACCCAAGACGAGCCCCGTGCCATCTGGACAGCACCTTGGGCAGCAGGATGGAAGTGAGAACGCACCAAGCAAACCAAAGGCCCTGCAGGCAGTGGGGAGCCTATGGGGGCCCCTGCCAGCAGGGTGACCCCACGGGGCCTCCGCAGGTGATGGTGGCATGGTGGGCTCCGCTAGCTGAAGGGGCCTGTGCAGACAGGGTTGGGGAAGCAGCACTGTTGTTTGTTTGTTTGTTTGTTTGTTTGTAGTGCTGGGGACTGAACTGATGGATGGCCTTTGCACCGAGTTTCCCCCTCAGCCTTGTTTTGCTTTTCTTTGTGTGAGGTTCTCGCTGGGTCACCAAGTTGCCTGGGCCAGGTTTGAACTGTGATCCTCCTGCCTCTGCCTCCCTGTGTGTGCGACTGCAGGCACGTGCCCATGCCTGCCCTGAGCCACCTTCCCAACCGGCCTGGCATGCAGGTCCCGCACTGGGCATGTACCCCATGGCATCCTGCCCAGGGAGCTCCAGCGGGCAGACCCGCTGCTGCCCACAGAGCTGTGGGGCATAGTAAGGGTGGTGGCCGTGAGCAGCAGGGCTCAGAGCTGCAGCACAGGGAAAGGGCTGTGTTGTGAGGAGGGGGTGTTGGAGGGCAGCCATGCTCAGCCTGCCTGAACCAGGTCTCCAGCAAGCCGACTGAGCCAGCCCTGCTGCCACAGCCCCAGGCCGCAGTGCAGTGAGCCGAGCGGAGGAGACCATGGCCCCGCTCCTCATAGAGGCATCTGCGGCCACACGGGGCTCGCTCCACCAGCGTCCTGGACGGACTGCTCCCGACCCCAGCCAGCTCCATGGTCCATCTCGCTAGGACATAGAGCCGTGGCCCTCCCACTGCGCTCCTGGCTCCCCTGCGCGAGTCAGCTTCCTACAGCCTGGTCTTTGCTCTCTGTGGAGTGGCTTCCCCCAATTGTCCCTTCCCAGGTTACTTCTATTCTCAGAATCCTTGTCACTTTGCTTAACCGTGAGAAAGCCCCACTGACTCCTCGTTATTGCCGGCAAGCCCTCGCCCCCAAGGGGCTCTGCCAAGCCCCCCACCTTACCGATGTGGTAGTAGGTGAAGCACATGGTCATGAGGTTCTTGGCGGGCCCGAAGTCGTCCATCTGATGGCACCTGAAAGATAGGTGGCCAACTGGCTGGAGAGTCCTCTGCCCGAGCTCCCCCAGCAAGCTCCCAGGGAGTGGGGGACAGTGACCAGCAAAATCCCCTGGACCAGCCAGGAGAGGTGCCAACAGGGCACCGGCCCAGCTCTGGCAGGGAGACGTTCATGGCCCTCATGGCGGGCCTCTTCCACTCTGCAGGTGAAAGTCAGTCCCGGAAGCTCAGCGAAGCACTGGGGACCACGCACCAGCCTGGAGCCTCTGGCCCGACCACTGGCCTGGTCAGCAGCAGCACCTGGATCCTTGGAGGGCAGCGGGGACACAGGCCTCACTGCTCCCCTGCCTTTCTGCACAGCCATGGGATGCTGCTGCCCTGAACCCCGGGCCCAGGGACACCACTGAGAACCATGGCCCAGGGACAGAACCCTCTTCTCATGTCACACATCAAAAACAGAGTAATTATCACTTAGGAGCTAAACAGCATTCTACAGCCCAAGGGCCGTTCCTACCCTATTATCCCCTACTTCAGAGTGTACATTACGAGACATACCTAGATCCATCCATCCAGCAGACACAGAAGGGGGACTTCAGAAAGGGCCCCTCTCTGCCACAGGAAATGACCCTGTGACCATGGCCAGAGCCACACTTCGAGTGGGAAGGGCCATCTGAACGTCTGAGCTGCGCACACTGGGGCAGAGCGCATGCGCAAATGGCACACGCTGCCTACGCAGGGCCGCAGGGATACACAGCCCGCGTGGGGAAATCCCGTGCTGGCCTGCGTGTCACTCCCAGGCCCCTCCGGGACAGGGGTCACAGGGAATGAGGGGAGCACACTTTGTGCACTCTTCCCCTCCCTCTGACCCAGGGCCTTTGCACTGAGACCTTTTCTATTTTTATTTTATTTTATGTATATATTTATTTTTGCGACAGCTCTATCGAATTCTCTAAATTGCTCAGCTTTGAACTCAGGACCCTCCTGCCTCAGGCTCCTGGAATGCTAGGGTTCCCAGCCTGGCCTAGGCTCTCTCCATTCTTCTTTCCTGTTTAGTCTTTGTGTTTTGCTTTGTTTTGCGGCACCAGGGATCAGACTCAGGACCTTGCACTTGCGAGGCAGGCATGGTGCCACTGAGCTACATCCCGGACCCTTTCCTGTTTAGTTTTTAACCTGGGGCAATTATTATTTTTAAAAGAAGGTCAACAGAAACCTTCTAGACAGTAGGCATAGGGCTGTTTCTGTTTTTTAAAAATACTTTATGAGCAGGAGCTGGGATGTCTCAGTAGAGCACATACCTAGTGTGCCCAAGCCCTGGGATCGACCCCAGCACTGCAACACCGAATCTAACCAACGTCCAGAACTAAGCTAGTGATAAAACTATAACAGATGGGTGAGCAAAGGACAAAGTACGAACTGAAGCTGCTATCAAGTAAAACACACACAATGCACAAGTCCTGTGCAGCACAGCAGCAATTTATGCAGAAAGAGAGCTCCTGGTACGTCCAGGGCTCCGAGTGTTGGCCCATGGAGGTCTTGGTGCCCAGGCCACGCCTGCCGGGCCCCGTTCCACTGACTTCCAGGGCAGTCTTCTTGCCCTCCCAGACCCCTGAGGGCTGTGTTTCCCTGCCAGGGACACAGGGAGCCATAGCAGGAAGAGAGGATCCTCCTCTCCACCAGTCCTTACCCCCAGCACCTGCCACATTCCTGGGGCAGCAGAGAAAGGCAACAGCGGAAGCAGCCACCATCCTGCAGAGGAGCACAGCGTGCAGGGCCAGAAGGACACAGGGCTCCGTAAGTGGAGTATGTGGGCAGTGGGGGAGAAGCCCAGGGCCCCAGCAGGGGTTTACCTACGGCCGTGTGCCACACCTCTGGCCTATTTCCACCCACAGAGCCTCATTCTCATCCTGGCTACCCCGCCGCAGACGAGGCTTCGGTCACTCCCGGCTGCCAAAGTCTGCCCTCCCTTCCATGGCTGGTGGTGGCACCTGCTCCAATCAAGGACAAAGGAAGTGAAGGGAGCCCGGCCCTCCGGGAGCCGCACGCACCAGGGGCCCTGTCCCCTGGCTGACAGCTGGGCAGAGGCAGGGCAGGGCTGGCCACACCTCTCCGGCCACCCGCAGCCCACAGGGCAGTGACCGGCCAGGCACATCATGGGGCTGGGATGCCATGAGGGGCGGGCACCCAGCTGCGAGTGCTTCCCACAGGAGATGGAACTGCTCAGGGCCCCCACAGGGAGGGCGGCCAGAGGGCGGAGCAGCGCCCAACAAGGGAGGCTGTGCTCCGCCCAGCTGCAGCTCCTACGGCCTCTGCTCCCGGGAGACGCTGGTCACCACGCCAGAGCCCCTGCAGCTGGTGATGGTGACGCGGGTGTGACTCACAGCTGGCCCCCTGCGGCAGGGGAGGGGAGGCATCACTTACTCAAACAGCACCACGGCGAAGGACTGCACCAGGCGGTAGAAGGTCGGCTCTGACACGCACTTGGAGTTGCAGCGCTGTGCGGAGAGAGGCGCGTGCATCAGCAGGGCCCAGGGAGCACAAGGGTACTAAGAGCATGCGGCTGGAAGCCCGCAGGGAGTGCGCATGGACGGCGCAGTGCTCTGGCCCAGGAGGGTCCCCACCCACACCAGTGTCACAGAAGCATGGAGGGACGGTGACAGGGCTACTTCTGGATGGCAGCTCTGCGAGGTTGGCCTCTGCTGCGTGTTCTAATTTAATACGAAGAGCACATGCTGTGGTGCTTGCAAATGAATGTCTTTCAGCTTTCTTAGTACATTTTCCTCCCCAGGGCTCTCAAGGTCTTGAAGGTATCACCTTTTGTAAATACCGAATACTGTGGGCTGTTTAGTAAACTACGTGGGCAGAGCCCTGGTACTTGGGTTAAAAATTCGCTGTCCTGGAACTTCTGGAGCTGACAGCCCCTCCTCCCCAGGGCAGGCTGCACGCACCTCCCTCACACCCTCTTCCCAGCCGTCCCTCCCCAGGAGGTTCATTTGTTTGTTTTGTGGCACTGGGGATGGAACCCAAGGCCTCTGCACTGAACTATATCTCCAGCCCTTAGAAACTTTTTATTTTGAGACAGGGTCTCACTAAGTCCCTAAGTTGTCCATGTTGGGTTTAAACTTGCAACCTCCTGCCTCAGCCTCCCAGAGTCTGGGATCACAGGTTTGTGCCACCACGCCCGCTCCTATGGCTCGTGTCCCCAAAGTGGAACTGCAGGACACACTGAGGAGACAGTGGGCGCTCACCTGGGCGCTCACAAAGCGGGTGAACCACTCCCGGCCCTTCCCATCCTCACTGCTGCAGTACTCGCCAAACTTGGCCTTCTCCTCCTGGTCTAAGTCCTCCCTGGAAATCGGCAGAGGGAAAACAAGGCCTGTTAGTCCCCAAAACAAACCTGTGCAGCCGGGAGAGGAGTGAGGAGGACGAGTCAGGGTGGCCTCAGCCTTGCTGGCATGGGCACCTGGGCACCCTCTGCCCTCCCCAGACCTGCAGGAGTGGGCTGTTGGTACTGAGGCAAGGAGCCTGTCTGGTAACCGACTCGCCAGCCCCTCCTGACTCCCACCTCCAGCCCCGTAAGGCTGAGCCTGGAGCAGGCCTGAGCTGTGGTCCTTTAGGGAATGGCGTCTTCCACTGATCGGCTTAGGCAACGTCATTTACATAAGGGTTTGTAGAAAAGGTCACACTCTTCACCCCACACTACCACCCCAACCCCGGTGAAACGTGAACCTGTCAGCCTTCAGCAGCTGTTTCTGGGGTGCCCCGACCATTCTGCACATGGCAGGCTACTGCCAGGGGTGGCCCTACCCATGGCAATCGGTGGCCTCTCGCCTTTGCATTACCTGGGGTGCACTCAGGGAAACCAAGTCACTTGGTGATGCCCAGGCAGACCGAGTGCGAAGCCACCTCCACCACCCTCTCCAGATGGTCAGAACTGGAGCACAGATGCACTCTGGGAAGCCAGGCGTCGGGGCCATCACAGAACCTGCCCTTCAGGCCACCCAGAGATGGAGGCCAGCCCACACGAAGAGCACAGAGAGGGGCCTCGCTCATGGGGGACATGGGGCTCTGCGGTGCCAATGGGCAGGGCTGGACAGGAGTCCTGCATGAGCCTCGTGGAAACGCATGTTCTCGCCTCAGACTCAGGAGGCTGATGTCGCTGGTCCACCCTGGAGACTCTGAACACATTTAGGGCACTGCCGTGGGTGCTGAAGGTCAGTTAGCACCACTGGAACCCTCAGGTCAGCCAGTAGGCCCCTTGGGTGGCAGGGACGTGAAGACCATGAAAGCCCTTGTGTGACCACTTCGGGCCCCAACTCCAGCCCGGCCTGTGCGCCAGGTGCCCAGCAGTCCATGCCCACACTCCACCCCTGCAAAGACCCCACCTAAAGGGCAGGAAGGGACCTTGTGCACACAGGAGCTCTACCAAAGCCAAGGAACCAGGGCCTTGCTACCTTAACAGCCCCTGAACCTTGTCTTGTTTATTTTGCTGTGTAGCCCAGGATGGCCTCAAAGTCACAGAGATCCTTCTGCCTCAGCCTCCCAAGGGTTGGGACCACAAACACGTGCCACCATGCCCAGCCAATGGCCCCTGAATTTAACTCCAGCAAATACCCATGACCGCCTAGCCACTGACAGCCCTGTGGGGCGGTGCTCACCGGGAGCTGCCCTCCGAATGCTCAGATGGCCCAGGGGCGGGTGAGTGCCCCCCCCACTCAGCAATGACAAGGGAGGATGAGGGCCAGCAGGGTGCAGGCAGGTGGGCGGGAAGTGGGAGCCACCCTGGAAATAGCTCCTTTCTGAGCCCATCCCGGGAGTGCACAGGGAACTCTGTTCCCTTACGGGGCTACAGCCGACCTGCTTCCCTCCTCCCACTTTCTCTGCCGTGTGGCTGCCAGTGTAGGAGGCCCCTGGGGCCAGTCCGCTGCCCAGTCCCGCCTGCCCAGGGGCGCGCTTGGGAGATGAAAGGGGAAGCAGAGATGGGCGGCCCCACGGGTCACAGGCAGGGGACAGGGAAGCACTGAGGACACTGTGCGAGATGGTGGACACGGGGCTGGACGGGCTGAGCCCCACTCTCTCTGCGGCTACTCGAGTGCCTAGCTTGGCCCATGAGCTGGGCATTTTGATGCCCATCCCCCCGGGGGCTCCCAACACGGCTGTCCCAGAATCCCCTGGGCGGCACGCACATCCATGACATGCTACACCCAGAATGCTGCTGCAGTTGTGCAGATGCAGCCAGACTCCGGATCCTTTCTGAGATGGGGTCTCACTCTGTAGCCCAGGCTGGCCTGGAACTCATGACCCTCCTGCCTCAGCCTCCCAAGTGCTGGGATGACAGGTGTGCACCACACCCAGCCAGGGGATCCTTCAGAGATGGCCCAGGAGGTCCCTACCCTCCCGAGAAGATCTTCTCCACGTAGCTGCGCATGAACTCGCGGAGAGCCTGGGTCTCCTCATCCTGGGTGGACTCCGCGCTCTGGCCCGAGGAGAAGGACTCGGAGGAGGAGGAGGAGCGGCGGCCCTGGTCCCAGGAGGGGTGCGAGGGTGACTCGCCCATGTCATTCTCGCTGTCTGCCGACTCGGTAGCCTCGCTCTCAGACGCGCCGTCACCCAGGGAGCCGTCCCCTTCCTGGGGGTCTGGAGGTGTAGCCTCCAGGGGAAGTGCGGCCGGTGGCTCAGGCCCAAAGTCGATCAGCGAGCCCACGGGCACCTCTGGGGCCTCCATGGTGTGGGGGCTGTGGCCGTGGGATCCTGCCCAGCACACGCAGTGGCCACCAGGGGTGAGACCTCCAGGGCAGCTTGGCGGCCCTAAAGCATCTGGGAGGAAACAGACAGAAGCACCATCACCACGCGGGAGCCTCTCCTCCCATGGAGAAAGGCAGCAACCACAGTGACTCTCTCTGTGCTGCGCTGCGGAACTGGGGGTGCTTCTCCCCCACGCCGATTCCCTTGCCGCCTGTTCCTGTCCACACTGCAACGCGGCGGGCACAACCAGGATCTGCTAAATTAGCCAGCTCAGACACACCCTGTGCCCATAGCTCCTTCCGCATGGTGGAGCCCACTCCTGCTGGACACCGGCACTGGGCTTCTGTACCCCTTGACTCTCAGACGCAGCCCAGCACAGACACTCGCCTGAAGAGAGCTTGGTGCACGTTTGCTGGATACACAAGCAGACGGGGCCGGGGCCGTGTGTACCAGGTCAAGGTCAGGGACACCAGTCGCACAGCGGCAGAGCTGGGGTAGAATCTCAGCTCCCACAGCAGCCTCCGAGCTGCCTGCCCATCCGGGGACCCTGCCACCCACACCGAGGGCAGTGGCCAAGCAGGACCAAGCCCCTGGATGGCAGCCCTCGGGGAGAGCGCACCTCTACCCTCCACGTCCCTCACAGGCTCCCCTGGCAACACCTGCAGCGTGGCCCAGCTCTGTGGAACTGAGGCCTCCTGGAGGGCAGTCAGCATCAAGGACACTGCCTCCTGGGCCCTGATTCATGGGAACCCACTGTGATATCACCAGCTCCCCAGCCTCAGACAGAAACACCCTGAGTCAGGGACAGCACTCCCTGCACACACTCAGGGAGCCTGCCTTGGTCCACACAGAGGCAGAAACTGCGGCTCAAAAGAACTTTCCAGGCCAGGCCCGCAGCAGGGCTCTGGCTCCCAGGAGGGCAGTGGGTCCCCTCGCCAGCTGTGTCCCCCATAGGAGGTAGTGAAAGGGTTAGAAGTCAAAGTCCTCAGAGAGTGCGTCTCACCCTCTCCAGAGAGCAGAACCACACCAGCCACGATGGCCCGGAGCCAGGGGAAGGCCCGCAGGAAGCTGAGTCAGTCCGATGCATGTTACCAATGCACTCGCTCTACCTAAAGAAACCCACCTTCTAGCAGACGCATAGCCACTCCAGCGGGCAAGGCACAAAGACAAAGCACAGCCATTAAATGCTGATACCAATAACCATGTGTGTAAATATGCACGTAAAGCAATTAACAACAGTCTTAAGCTACCGAGTTACAAAACTTTTAAATTATAACTCAGTCCTGATGAAACTAATATTCCCAAATGTTGCCAGCAATGAGGATAAATGAGCCATTAGAAAGCCTTTAATTTCCATCATTCTTATTTTTCCCTTTCATATGATTCAAAAATTCATATGCTTAGAATTTATCTTTAGAAAATAATTCAAAACACTCAGAAAACAGTAGTGTGGAGAAAAATGCTGCAACATTACCCATAATGTGGATAAATACGGTAACGGGAAAGAAATGGTGACTGTATGGGAAGACCCAGGCTCTGGGCCAAGAAAGCCTGCGTCCTGCCTGCTGGGTATCTGCTGCCCGGTGCTGGGGACAGGGTGGGGGGTTCTGATTTCCCTGTGGTTACCGCTGTGAACACACCTGGGAAAAGGGTAGCCTGGCCTGGGTGCCAGGCTGAGACCAAACTGCCCCAGGGCGACTGGTTCCCTTCCAGCCCAAGGGCTCTCAGGGTTGCATAGCAGCCCCAGGGCTTTAGGCTGGAGTCACCCTCGCTGAGAGTCTTAGGCTGGGGAAGGAGGTGACATTACTGACAGACACAGAGTGAGAAGCGGCTGGTGGGCCAGGGTCAGTCCAGGCCCTGTGCAGCAGCATGAGTGGTGAAAAGCCTCTCTCAGGACAGCAGCAGGACACTCTGCTCTCCCAGGCTGGTTAGTCACAGGGAAGCCACCACATCCAGGAAGGGGACAGGATCACAGGCCCCAGGAGATAAGGTGGCCTCTCTCACCCACCTCAGGTGACCGCCTAGAAAGATAATACAGAAGTTGCCAGCAGGGATGACTACTCCATCCCCACTTGCAGCAGCCAGAAACCCTCTAGGAGCCCAGGCCCTGGAGTCCCAGAGCTTCCAGGATGTTCTAAGGAGTGCGGAAATCTGCCACATGCAGTCTTCCAAAATTTCAATGATGGCAACTGATTTAAATTTATTTCAAAACACTGTATGGTCAAAAATACAAAATAAAACAAAAACAAACCAAAACCCTAGACCTAAAGCAAGAACACCCCACATCTGTGGGTTGCACCCTGGTCCGTGTGCTCTGTTCTCCATACAAGAGGCCTGAGGTCCCCTGCCATCCCCGGCCTGAGACGCTGGGTTCCACACGAAGGAGGGGTCTGTCACTAGAGGGAGTAGTGGGACTTCCCTAGAGGCAGGGCTCCGAGTCAGCCAGTCAGGGACTCCAGGAGGAGAAAGAGGCCAAGGCAGCCTAGACAGGCCTGGGGCACTGGGAACCCTACAGGAAGGAGGCAGGGACCTGGTGGGGTGCAGAGAAGGCAGCTGCGAGGACATCCCACCCCTGCAGCCTTCCCAGGCCACCTCCAGCTGCAGGGGAACTGCGGAGTGACTGCGGGACTATAGCCCAGCCACAGCCGGCCTCAAACTCTGATTTTCCCAGCATCCTGGGGCACAGGTTGCTGCTTCTCTGCAGGACAGCTACAAACCAAGCCCTGGACTTCCATGTTGTCCTCTGGCAGCTGCAGTCCCTCAAGGGGACTGCTGGTCACACAGTGGGAGGGCTGGTGACACTGGTATGACCCAGTGACCTCGCTCAAGGTCTGCCCTGTGGTGACACACACTTTACAGACAGATTAAGCTAAGGACTGAGTTGGGGAGAGAACCCAGGTTATAAGTGTGAGCCCAATGTCATCACAAGGGACCTTACCAGTGGGTCAGAGTTAGAGAGGAGCTGTGACGATGGCCCTGAAGGTACAGGAGGAGGCCACAAGCCAAGGAGTGCAGCAGGGAGAGGCAGGAAAGAGATTCTCTCAGCCTAGCATGAGCCTGGCCGACACCTTGACTGTAGCCACTGAGGTAGGTTTTGAATTTCTGGCCCCCAGAATTGTGAAATGATAAATGAGTGTTGTTTAAAGCCACTAAGTACACAATAGTTTGTTGCATTAGCAAAAGGAAGCAAAGACAATGTTAGGTCAGAAATGCTAGGTTCAGACTGTCAGGTATTTGTCTGAGTTTAGGCTGCCAGGAAAAATAAAACAACTGCGGCAAGAAGCTGGGGAGTCTCTGCTGTGCAAAGAAGGCCCTGGCCCACACCCAGAACAAAAAGTCCTCAGCCAGCCCCCTCCTACCACTCGAGCTCTGGAACCTGACACTGGCCACCCTGCTAAGGCTGCTCCTCCCTGGGCTCGCTCTATGGAGCTTGTTACTATGAAGTTCTTCATTTCCCTTCCCCTTAAATATTCTGTGCTGTACTGGTAAGGAAGGGTGGGGAACAGAATTCTACCATGCACCTGTCTCTCAAGTTCAAGGTCCTGAGTTAGACCACCGGTACGAAAAAGATAAAAATCTACCATGTCGACAAAAATCACTCTCCACTTTGTGTATTCCCTTCCAGTCTCTATCAATGTGCAGTTTTTTGTGTTTGTTTTTACCATTTCAGTGCTGGAAAAAATTTGACTATTCTGCACACCCTTGTGGCTCTTCTCTCGCAGCCACACATGGGTGCCCCACATGGACGGCACCCTCTCCCGTCCCCTGAACGGTGCTGTGCTGCCAACCAAACTGCAAGGGGGCCTCGCTCGAAGTCTCGGGTGCAGTGGGGTCAGGAGTCACTTCCACACGTGCCCAGCTAGCTCTGAGAGAGGCCGGAGGTGCAGCGCTTCCTGAACACACCCTTCCTGCCGCCCCACACTGGCCACACAGTCCAGCCCATGACACCTCGCTCAGCACAGCCATGGCCGAGGTGTGAGTGTGGACCGCAGGGGACTCAAGCTGGCCAACACAGCCCGTGCATATGCCTGTCACCGTGGGCTGTGGAGCAGGTGGCTTTGCCTGGCAACCAGGAAGGGAGCTTCGGCTGCCTGCACCTGAGAAGCAATAGGTGTTCGGTGAAGAACAGGTTGGGTTACAGGAAATGTCAAGGTGTCTTCCTCCTCCGTGTCAGCGTGTTCAGATCGCTGTGCAGAAGGTCTGTGCCCTGTCAACACAGTTCAAGGGCATCTTACAGACCTGCGGACTCAAATAAACCCATCGCTGCAGCTGGGGAAAGTATTTAGTCAAGTTTCACGGCAGCCGAAGTCAAAAGCTGAAATGTGCTGGATCTAACATTCTTCTGGCCCTGACAGATTCACCTGCAAAGTAACTTGTTCCAGATACTAAGACAGCAACATCATTCATTGTAATGCCAAAGCCTCTAAGATGGTCCTGAAAAATGCACAGGTGTCATGACTCTTCAAAAACGTGAAGGCACAGGAGAAATGAGTCTGGTGCAGGCACTTGTCTGATAAGGTTCCCGACACCCCAGCAAACGGCAGCTTCAATGCCCAAGAGGCACCCTCCCCTCCTACACCAGAGGTCTGCCGGGCTGGTGAGGGAAGCTGTGGCACAGACCATCCACGCCGGCTTCCCGGAGGGCCTCGGGGCCAGCTGCTGGGACGGAGGGCTCCTTCTGCCAAGAAAGTTTAGGACTCCAATCAGGGTCCCCGGATACAGCAGCAGCATCTTAGATACCTGCAGAGGAATCTTTGGCAGAGCCCCACCAGGCCAAGACAAAAGTGTCTGTGAGGTGTCGGTGAAGCAAGGGCTGTATCTCCCAGGGGTCTGGGCTAGAAAGGGGCCTGGGGCCATGAAAGGGAGCGTGCAGGAAGCACAGCAGCGCTGACAGGGCAGGGAAGGCCACTCACAGTGCCCACCCGACTCAGACAGGAAGAGGGCGCACCGAGCTGTTCAGGAACAGCGGGAACTGGATGGGACCCAGCCCGACTTAGAGCGTGGCAGGGGCTCAACACCTGGGATTGCAGCCACGGTTTCTCGCCTTGGAGGGAGCACAGTACCGAGCCGTGAGAGGGGAGAAGCCGAGGAGTGACCCCGTGCT